TTTACTGTAATCTCTCTACTCAAGGGGAGCATGACCCATCGGCACTGTGTCCGACGGGGACAAGACGAATATAGTCACCACATCGAGCCCCTCCTTTGAGCCAATCAGAACGTGACACCAGAAGTACACAAGAGTACTTTAAGTCGGAAACTAGCTTGACTGCGAACTGTGCCCCCCTTGCCCCGGCCTGTGGCGTCGTCATTCTTTGTGGCTGAACTCTGCCCTCTTGCACCAATACCACACTCCAGCATCGCCTAAGGTTCTTCCACATTGAGGCCCTCACCTGTATCTTTCCTTTTTATATACAAGACACTTAGTGACTCGTTTTCTTGTTCCTCTATACACGACTGTAGTAGTATAAACGGTATCGTGAAGAGGAGCACATATCAATGGTGAATATTGTTCTGATTTACTAAACATGTAAATACATATTTACTCACCTCGCCCATTGGAATCAGATTCACCAGCTTGGCGCCGCCTAGTTTCCTCTCATAGAAGTCATTTGCAGTTGAAGGAGAAAAGTGCATTGAAGACTTCTGTTGCTCTCGATATTGTGAATCCTTATGAGAAAGTGCATACCCATCTTTTTCATCGCAACTAGCATCACTTTCGCCACATTCCACTTTAATTCCAATATGTGGCAACTTTTCCAGACATACTCTATTAATCTCTCCAATCCCAACTGGAGTCTGTACGTTGTGATCACCATGAAGTCTATTAGAATTGATTTTAGTTTCTAGAGAACCTGAAGTTCCACCTATAGTAGCCGATGTAGGTACCGCGCATAGTTCAAAATTAGCCTCATAGTCTGCTGAGTTCTGCGTCAGCAAGAATAACTCAGGGCGTGAGATAGATGACTCCGATGGATGTAGTGTGCTGCAATTGCTTCCACTCTGAATACATCTGTCTCCTCCAGAACGATATAAAGATGCTGCAGGAAACAGGTTAGCTTGTACTGGTGTCGGAGAGTAAGGATAAGTGGCTGGTGATGCAGAATGAAAGACTGAGCAAGCTAGAGAGGGCTCGACGCCATGGCTTCGGTGACTACTATTCAAACAAAGCGTCATGTCACCCTGGGAAATGCCACATTCGTCACCATTTTCTAAACATAAATTTAAACAAAAGCCCACTTAAGATAGTCATATTTAATAAAATTAGGTTAGAAGAGACAAGGTAAATAAAAGCAAAATATGTTACACAAAAGTTGACAATGATTAGAAAAACCATGTACCAAACATGCATTAACTTATAACTTGACGCTGGGAGTGTTGATACTTTAAACCTTCTTAAATGTATTAAGAATTGCTTTTTTAAAAGATACTAAGCACTTTATAAATATATGAGTAAATTTAGATTATGATAAGCTTAATTTAGGTATTCACCTTAAAGC